GCAGTGTCTTCTTATTAGCAGAGCATAGTGGGTTGTCAAACTGTCTCTTCAGAAATGCTAACCAGACGTTTAATGTTAAGTTACTGCTAGAGAATGTTGGAACTGCATATGTTGATTCAAAATGCTCATCCTAGCAGGGAAAAGCACTTATGTCCCCAGCATACATTTTTTCCTGGAATGCATGTACACACATCAGCGGTTTCTGTCTTTCTGAATCTGCAGATCCTTAAGAAATTTTCAGGGAAGATGTGGAGCTCTACAGAGCAGACTTCAACCTGCTAATGACAGGCTTGGTTCTTTTAGTTACCTTTTGCAGACCGCAGAGAGCACAAAAAAAAACACTGTAAGAGAGGCACGGCTATCTGTACGTGAAGAGACCCTAGTATCACAGCTGAAGAGCAGCGAAAGCTGTTTTCTCACATCCAGCTGAACTCTACTTCCACTGAAACCAATGCTTGCTTTACCATTGATGCCAGTATGACAGCTGAATAGAGGCAAAAGGGCTTTTGAAAGCCCCACCTGTAAAGTAAAGCCAGAATACTTCAACTAAAAAAATGTGAAAAGGTGAATATAGAAAGACTGAGACTATAGAGATGAAACCCCCTTAAAATTAACTAAGAATATATAGCAAGTAAAGTAATTGGAACTTGTACAAAGAAGCCACTACAGACAATATATTTTGTAGTGTAGTTGGGCAATAGTCAGGAAACATAGTAATTGGTGGAAGTACTGTATTAGTGAAAACCACGGTCATCTTAACAATGAGCCCATGTACCAATGCACTTCTACTCTGCTGCAGAACTGGCTTTCTTGAAAGAGATATAGCCCAGTAACTACCTTATTGCTAATCTAACTTTGCTACCCCTGGCAGTAAAATAACAGCATCAGTAACAACTGAAAGTCAGGTAAACTACCATGCTTTCAGTGCGGTCAGTTATTAGGGGCTACAACAAATTACCCTGGCTGTGAGCCTGGCCTTACACACTCAGGGCGACATTCAGCTGTACCATCACTCAGTGTGAGGTTTCAAGTGAGCGTCGCCCTGGCTCATTCCAGCAGTATCCAGGATGACTGAACTGTGGGTCAGTGTCCTGAGGGAAATCCTGGCCTCAGAAAAGTCAAAGGGAGTTTCACTACTGACTTTAATGGGATCAAGATTTCACCTAACAGGATTATAAAGGCTACAGCTTCTCTGACAAAGACACAAAATTAGTGAACACAGTTAGGGCAGTGCCTCTGAATTTCAGTCAGGCATTTGATACTGTGCCTCATAAAAGCCTGCTATAAATATCGACTCACACTGACTAAGACAGGAACACTGCTGCACTGATTGAAAGCTGCTGGCAAATGGCAATGGATCAAGCTGGGGAGAAGTGTCTGTGACAACAGTTCTCAAACCTTCTTCTTGTATCCTAGAGGAAAGCACAGTCTGTGCCTCCACACTATCAGGAACACTGCCAAAGGACACTTCCACCCACCAAAGCAAGGGGTGCTTTACCATAAGATGGAGAGATGATGCCCTTTGCAAGGCTGAGCCATACCAGGTGGGTGTTTGCACTCAGTATTGTGACTGACCCAAGACAGCCTCGGCAACATCACTGTCTCCTACCCTGGGATCCCAGCTGACCCCCGACCTCAGACCCCAGCCCTGGTGGACACACCATGACTGGATTCACTCTGCTGCTTGTTCCAGAGTTAAACTGGAGCAGTCTGCATGGCTTTCTCTGACTGAATTCTGCCTCCATTAAGGCCCTGGGAAATTCTGCTACTGACTCCAAGGGGAACAACAGTTTCTGGCCCCTGCTGTTTCCCTCTGCTCCTGCTTTCCGATTCCACTTGCCTCCCTCTCTGGCCCACATCTTGTGGGTGCTACCGCATCTGCAAGTGTGCCCCTGCCCCAGCCTTTTCCTTCCTGCCACATTCCCTGCTCCCCTCCCTAGGGTTTCTTCTGTATAATGAACAGAGAACCTACAAAAAGAAAAATTCAGGATAAAAACTTGGCAAAGCTTGCTGGCAAAGATATCTTAGCTTGCTAAACAGACTTCCAGTGAAATGGAAGAACCGTGACATCTACCATTACACTAATAAATAAGGACTACGCTTACTGTAATATAAAGGCTCTGACCCTCCATCATGAATGTCAACTGAAGTTTTGCTTTAGGCTTCAGCGAGTAGGCACAACCCAAGCACATGACACTGTGCTACAGCAGAACAGCCCACTGGACCATTACTCTTGATTCTGGGGGACAGTGCTGCATTTGCGAGGCACTCAGGAGACTTGAATACTGCTTCTTCCCGCATCCTCAACCTAATGAGTGATTTAAGGCAAGTCATGTTGTACCTTTGTGCCTCTGTTTGTCTTTCCTGTCTTTTGTGTTCCATGGAGAAACTGATCTTCTTTGTAAATTAATATGAAAGGCAGGAGTGAAAAGAGCTTGTGTCAGAGCCAGGCAGAAGAAAATAAGGTAATGTGGTTATAAAAGCAAGTATTTAAAAAAGCAAAAACATTCATTTGAAAGTTTGTTACAAAAGAGACATCCTCCACCTGCACTGCAGTACCGGCCACAGAGAGTGCTATGTTAACCACAGTTGCTTTGCACATCACCTTTCAGCCTCAGAGCTGAACCCATTACATGGCCCCTTGGGAACATACATTCCCTGAGACCCAGGGTTGGGTTACTGCACTGCAGCTGACTGTGGAATGAATGGTCATGCTGAGGAAAGCAAACAAGACAGCCTGCAAGGTCCTGGAGATCACTTTCAGCTATGAGAAAGCTTCTTTATTTTTATACCTTCTATTTAACTGCTAACCCTTTTGTTTGAAAGCCACAACAGCAGAGAGCATACTGCAGGCATAGCACAGAGACATCAAAGCAGACAGAACAGGTAGCAGCAGGACATGTCTTCCAGAGTATCATAAAAAGGAGCCTAGACGAGCTCCTGCATTTCAGCCAGGAATAGCTTCAAAAGGCCATTTTGGCACAGAGTGTAAAGTAAACTCATTTGGAAGTGGGGTAGAGGTGTGTGTCCCTAGTTGAATCAGAGACTTTCAGGGACTGCACAGACTCTGGAGGCTTTGGAAAACAGAAGGTTTTTGAACACCCCAAGTTTGTTAGTATGCTTTTAGGAATGGAAATTATCCCTGTGCAGGAGATGAAAAACATGAGCCTTTCTAATGCATGTTCAAAGAAAGGAGCTACCATCAGAGAAGGCAACCGAACAGGTCAGAGCTGTGTATGTGCTCAAGCAGGTGGTGCTGTCAGGACAATGAGACTTGAAGTAACAATAACCTTAGTCGCAGAAGCAGAGAAACTAAGCAGGTAGCTTAACAGAAGTGGGAGGTGGATGAGACTGGCTTAAGGACCTTGGACTAAAATGTGGGCTTGATATCTGACTTTGACATTGACCTCCTGTGCCTTTTGGGCAATTCATCTTGGTTGAGTTCCCTCCTCAGTAAGCAAAGTCAGCAGTCTGTGGGGAGGTGGAGGAGGGGATGACACACATTTTTTTCCCACTAGGGAAGATTTTTTTTTAACTATGTGGTTTAAGCTCCCTCCCACAACTCTTCAAGCCGAAGACACTGCAGTAATCACGTCATTAGGGACAATACTTCAGATCCACAGCAAGGAAACTGCTCCTTCCCTCACTGCAGTGAACATGGAGCAGGAAGCTCAAAAAGCCCACATCTTTCATTTCATACTTCCAAAAGCTCTCCCCAAAGCCATGGGAAACATGGTCATACCAAAAAGGTTCCCACGTCTGCTGGTAGCTGTTGAAGGATGCCCATTCATTAGCCTATGGTAACCCAGAATCCCACAGGCATTCCAGCCCACTTCCGTTTTCCAATGCTACCATCGTTCAATGGCAAGAACCCTGCCTTCCTCTGACATGGGAGGAATGAATGTTGTCTCCCCTGAGCTCCTTGAATGTGCAGTTCCCTACTGAACCACGTCAGAGTGTGCATTTAAGACCATTTTTACTTCACATTTACTTTACATGGGTGAAGCTTTGTGTCTGGCATGAAAAAGTGAGAAAGTGTTGCCTAAACACATGATTTTTTGCTGCACTGCCTTGAAGAAAGGCTGGTAGCCTCATTAAGAATCTGCTGCTTGTTTGATAATTTCTGCTATTCTCATGGAAACAAATTCAGACCCGTTTCTTCAAGGGCCTTGGGAAACAAGCAGGAGCAGTAGGGCCGTGCTGCAAGGAGTCCCATGTTGATGCAAACACCCTACTCTTAGTGCAAAAGGGCTGGAGGAAGCATGGCATTAGCACTCTCAGAAGGGATAGTAACATCACAGAAGGCACATGAAATGCCCCGGCATTGACTATTTTGCTCCCTGATGACCCCGTTCACAATTGCACAACACCCCTATGATTCTTATCATAGGCAAGGATTAATCTACATTCAGCTGTCTTCATAGTGATCTAGTAGACAAAAACAGCCATTGGCCTCAACTGGCCAGAAATGTCGGCGCATTCCCACAGCAAACCTCAGCTTGGAATCACCAAAATAAACCTACACACTTTATGACTAGAGGTCACATCTGGTGTGGGAAGGAGGATGTGAGCAGGAAAAAAATTGGATCCACCAGCCTGCCATGCCAACATCAAACTGCTGTATCAGAGCACACATTGAACATTCCCACAGAAATTATCAGCAATGGAAGACTGACAATGCCAACATGTTATTAAACAGTCATCATTTGGCTCAGCATCTTTGTTGATGTCTATCAACATCAATACTCTGAATTGAAAGGGTAGATGAATAGAGCTGCCCTCTATATTCTCAGAAGGGTATCTATCCACATGTATTTGTCTGGAAGACAAGAGGTTTGAGTCAGACTTTTTTTTCTTTCTGTCTTTCTTTCCTTTTTTCAACTGAGGACTCACAAATTGATGGAGCTACCACAGAGCATCTGATGCCTACCAACCAAACTCTGAGCCCTGTTCCTGGACAGAATTCCCACATGCCCCCTCCACCCTTTCTACACACTTACCATAATGGTGTGATGTGGGAACAGGGCACGGACAGACTTCACGAACTCCACAAAGTGCTCTGAATAGCCATTTGCCACATCCAGGCAGATGTATCTGACAGGTGGAATGGCCTCTAGAATACTTGTTAACTTGTCCAAATCAGCTTTTCCACTACCTGAGCTTGCTGCTACATGCTAGAAAGACAGGGAGAACAAAAGGGAGTAGTAGTTTGTAAAAACTGGGATAAACACACACTTTGTATATCTTTTTCTGCATAGTCTTGGGAGGACTTGTGCTGGAAACTAGTGAAAATCATACTATGTATTATGAAACAAATACCTTCCTGGGAATATCAATGTGTTACTTCTGTTTTGCTTAAAGGCTCTAAAATAGAGCAAAATTAGCATTTTATCAGCTCTTCATTCACAAGTGGATTCTCACAGGCAAATAAAATCACCTGAGATGGATGAAGGCTCAGCCATACTCATATTAACACGAACACAGAAGCAGCCCTAACTCGGTATATTTCCAGGAAGGCAGAGTGGCAAAATTTGGGGCACTGTCAGAGTGTGGAATGCGGGTCTTTAAGTTCACCAAACACTCCCTTGATCTACAGAATCACAGAATAGTTGAGCCTGGAAGGGACCTCTGGAGATTGTGTAGTCCAACCCCCTTGTTCAAGCAGGGTCAGCTACCACTGAAAACAAGCAGATTGCTTCCTCCTCTGTCTTCCTATGAGTTCTTTCCAATAGAAAAATAGTTTCCACAGCTGTTGGCCCACAAAACCTCTGCAGAGATCCAAGGTCACAGAGCAAGTCAGTATTTAATCACTAGGAGATCCTACTCCAGTGATTATGAACCACAAATGAGCTAAGTACCAAAGTATTCAGACACAGGATATTCCTGGGACCACTTTCTACCCTATAGTGGCATATAAGCAACCCTGATGAACCTAAGTGATCGGCTTTCAGACAATCCTGTAATCAACAGTCGTTATAACATAATTCTAAAATGTGCCACAGGTGAAGATACAATACAGCTGTGTGGTATTCTATTCCATACAGAAAAAGTTTCAAAACTGCACTGAACTCCGAGGAGGAGGGGAGATAGCCAGGCATGCTCTTATACTGCCTCTCCTGGTGTAGCGACCTGCCAGAAGAACACAGAAGAAATCTGGATATGAAAAAGTCGGAACTGAAGTCAATGTTTAAATTTACTACATGGTGTTTCTCTGTAATGGCTCAGGCTAGGACCCTGTGAACAACTACTAGTAGTAGCATAGCATGAACTCTAATGCAAGGAGGTAAATGGAGGACACATACGCTCTGACAACTTTCAATGCTCATTCCTACAGCCTGCAGGCTCCGGGTCTACTTGCACATCTGACAGCAAAGACTCTGCCTAGCACAAGGCCGTGCAGAACCAGCTTGTGGTTGGGTTACTCAAGGTTATTCACATCTGTGGTCTTGAGCTTCTCCCTCACCAGCACCACCACAGTTCCCAACAGCAACAGAAGCACAGCAGTTAGACCTATTCCCAAGTATTTCCTTCTTCTTTGTTTAGGATACTTCTCTGTTTCCATTCCAGGCATATATAAACTTTGCTTTTCTGCATCTTAATACAAGCACTTTCATAATGGACTCACATAGCTATTCTTTCTAAGCCAGGACAAGCCACTTCCCTTGATGCATTTAAGAACAGCAAATATCTTCATTCCCCAAAACCTCACTTGACAACAGTATTCCCAAGAGACTCCAGTGTATGTGAGTTCAGAACAAAGCAATAAACCATAATAATTTACAGTACAAAAATGTACCTCAAGGCATTCTGGGTGATTGGCAGCAAACAGTTTCCATTCTTCCAGAGAATAATGCTTGTGAATTGCAGTGAACATTGCATGCTAGCAAAAATAAGAAAACTGATGTTAATGTCCAAGTTAGGCATCTTTCCCTCAGCTATGGAATAACAAGATATTAGAAATTCCCATTTTAAGCATAGGTTCATCCTGCTTGAAAGAAACAGTTATAGCGAATAACAGGCCAGGCAACTCCAAACGGCTCTTCAAAGGTAACTTAGCATACTTAGCCAACCCTTCAGGATCAGGTTTCTGATGTGTTTCATGAAGTTATGGTCAATATTTTGAATGTGCTTAAGCACTGCAAGAAATTAAGGTAAGCCTTGAGGCCAGAGGCTAATTAACTAGTGACTCCTGACTGCTGCAGCTTTACCCAGTAACCTACACTTTTAAAACCGCTGTCAGCTCATAATTTTTTTCTGGAAGGGAGCACAATATAGACCTCAAAAACTAAGCTCTAGAAGCTCCACCTGAAGCTGAGTTACACCCAACACGGAAGCTTCCCAGTAAGCATCTCCACTGAAACTCTCTTATATCTGGAGCCCTGTCTCTGGTTACTCTATTGCTGTAAAAGCACAGCTGTTCTGCAGTGAAACCACACCTTCTTGTTTTGGAATTTTTAACTCATGCCCCCCTGTTCTCCAACAAATATAGCTAAAAATTAACAAAGGCTGCTTACTGTCACCCAGTGGCTTCCCAATTGTTGCAGAAATGAGAATCAAGACTTACTTTTGCCATAACCACAGCCATTTCAAATGTCCCCACAGTGTCCATGTTTGCCACTATAATGGGAATTCCTGTGTATGTCTGCTTGGAGTTGCGGAAGGTGAAGGTGCGCGTGAGGTCGACCTGCAATGAATAGGCACACACTCTTTTAAGTAATTGATTGCAATCTAACAATTGATTGCAGAGTTTTGCCACTGACTTCAGATACAGCAGGTTTGGACACCGCTTCTTAATTCTCCTCACATTTCCTGTTCTTCCTCCTTTTATTCCACTATTACCTCACTTTATTTATTTATTTTGTTACAACTTCTGCCTTCCAAATAAGAAAGAAAATACAAAAGTAAAATAATGTTTTCTGTGTTAAAGAGAGTTCTTGCTGAAGAAGAAGAGAATCAAAATTAAAAAAAAAAAAAAAAGAAACAAGTCAGAAGGAGTTGGAAAGGAAAGAAAGGACAATGAGGACTGTGGATTATTTTATACAGAAGTAACCTCAGCTGTTTGTTTGGCTGCCTGAGAAACCCAAGTTGAAGTCGTAGCTCTACAGAAGTCAGTACTGGAACGCCCTCTGTCTCCAGGGCATAGAGGGCTTTGTCCCTCTTTAATGTAAATGGCAATATAATAAAGCAAGCTCTTACTTTTCGCTATGGTTACCAGCACTCTTGCCACACAATATGAACAATCATACCCTGGCTTATTAAACCATGAGGCTGCTAGTTTCTAAGTTAATTTCTTACAACTGCATCAGCCTTCACCTTCAAAGTTATTTCTTCTTCAGCATCCTCAAATGATCATGGTAACATTAGGCATTTTGTTCCTTATATTTGCAAGAGGTAATATCAAATTTAGATCAGTTCCCACTGGTCTACTTAGCATCTTGCAAAAGGGGAAAAAAAAAACCTCTAAGAAATGCACAACTGTAAGATACTAGGTTAGTCTCTTTAGTAACAGCGAAAATGAAGGCTCTTTCATAGTTTGCATTGCTCCTCACTTCAGCTTTAATCCAGGAACATTTGGAGACCTGAACTGAAATTCATCACCAGAAAGGAAGGAATATAAAAAATATAGGACTTTGATTATTTATTTACAACATGTTTTGTTGTATGAGCATTGTCATATTGCAGGCTACATTCTGGTTGATTAATATGGTGGGGGGTTTATTACTGACTCGTATAAGAGAGAACTTGGTGCCTCAGTGATATATTGTGAAACAGGTTCTCATTTTGTATGAGCTCGTAAGGGAAGGGTCACTTTGGTGAACAAGCTAAGATACATCTTAATGAAGAGTCACCCTTCTGCCCATTTAGTATCAGAGAGACCCAATTCTCCACCCATCACTGATGACATAACATTCTTATGGGAATTTCAGCTGCAGCTAACATGAGAAAATAGTATGGAGAAGATAGGTATGAAATAAGTATGAAAATTTAATGTATCCTACTCCCTTTTAATGCAATTTATTAACTAGAACCAAGGAAAAAAAGACAGAGTATCACACAACCAGTTCTACACAGACAATAATACCAGAACCACTGCCTTGCAGTTTTACAGAGGAAAAACATCTCTTTCAAATGAACTTAAGAAAGAATTAGAGAAGAAGCATATGTTTAAGAAAAGATGAAGCAAGATGCAAAGCTATGCAGGGAACACAAGGCCATTGCTCTTCCAGTGATTCTCACCTCCACATACTGTAACTTCTCATATGCGACTTCCTTCAGCAGCCAGCCAGATGGATCTCATGCAATTATCCACCCAACTGATAATAGTGTAACAGCAGGCATTTATGAGGGCTTCCCCTAATGAGGCTTTTCTTCTACAAGAACAGGAGAAATGGCACACTATACTGGAGATGTTTATGTGGTACCCTAGTTCTCCAAAGAGCCTCTACCAGATGTCTGGGAAGGGAACATAAGAACGAGGCAAGTTTTGGAAGACTTTTTCCCTAGCCTACCTTCCCATGTCCCAAGAAGCTGATGTTTAGATACCTTCAAAGACAAAGGTCTCCTCCAATCCATTGTGCTAAATAGCCATTCGTGGGCAAAGAACTTGCCTTGTAATTTTTTTAACCCTTCACACCTTTAGCCTCTCCAATATCCCACAGCAATAAATTCCAAAGATGACTGATACATTGCATAAAAAATACGACCTTTGCCTGATAATTACATTCAGTGCTTCCTACTTCTTGTTTTGTGAGAGACAATCAACAGCCACTTCACAGTTTCATCTTTTCCATTCCACTCCTCACTTCATAGACTTCTATCCTCCACAGCTGCTTTTTCTCCATACCGAATAGTCCTAGTATGTTTATTTTTTTCCTCACATGGAAATCAGTCAATACTGGTGATCATCCTGGCTGCCATTTTCTGTACCTATTTTAGCATATTATGCTGTTCTTGTGAAGGGATCACCAGAACTGTGTACTCAAGATGAACATACTGAGGAGCATCACAAAGCTAACTGATTTTCCTTAGTTCCTCTAGTAGCACTTCTGACCATCTCTTCGTCTCTTTCCTGAGTAGTAACAGCTAATTTATAGCTTATTGTTCTATGCATTACGAGAAAATAACTTCTGACTCTAGGATTGCTCACCATCACTCAACAACAGCAAAAATTTCTTTAGAAAGAAAATAATGAAATGTATTTTATAACGCCTACCTAGACCTTCAACAGATGAAAGTACTAGGACATTGGCTGTTCTGTTAAAGCTCCTTGGACTTATTTGAATTTACAAATTTAAATTAATGACCAGACTTCCTACAGGACACTTGTCTGGTGAACTTAAAATGGACAGCCTGCAGCAGCAAGTCCAGCAAGGGCTACATGAGTACCAAGACCCCACTGACAAATAATGCTGCTCCCACTCCAATCATTGCTTTAACCAATTTTGACACTTGAGTTCAAGCTCCAAATTTTCTGGTATCTTTTCATAAAGAGAAAGCAATCATGGAAAATGAAGACAGTGCAAGGAATCAAAAACAAGTACCAACATAGCAGACCTACAAAAAGAGCTGCAAACACCCCAAAATGCCTCTCTAAGAAGCTGACTTAATCCTAGTTACCGCATAAAAAGCTACCCTTGTGCAAAATGAGGCATTCACACCAGAGAAGCAGACACTTGCTGATATAAGCTTCAAAGCAGCAGCTTGCTGAGTAACAGGCACTATAGTGTGCTGCCTCTGTTCCTCTGCCAGAACTATTTATTTATATTCTTGTTTTGAAGCAGACTGGGGCTGTCCATTTCAGCTCTGGCTCCTACAGACACTGTTTATTCCTGTTGCTACAGCCTCAGTGATGGTGTCCAATTTCTTAACCTTCATCAGTTTTCACTGACCCCCCTCATGACATGCATTTTTTCTCATGTGAAATGTTTTTAACAGTTCTTCATAGCCACCGGTTACAACCCTGCCATATCAGCTCATGTTCCTCCTATCGTTTTCCCTTCCCAGCAGCCCTTCTTTCCACAGCCTGCACGCAGCTAAATATACAAAACATTGCACTTGAAGGAGCCATGTGTCACTCGATGGAGCACAGCTCCACCTGTTTGCCAGGCCAGCACAGTGAATTTTAAAGAGGGACCATAGGTCCCCAAGCAAATGGCCAGTAAGGACCTACAGGCCTTATGAGCAGTAATTGCACGCAATGAGGAGTTACTCAGCCAGGACACCGTTCTTTGCAAATTAAAAACGACTAGCCTGAGATTACCTTTCTACTGAGAGGGCCTCTCCAATCTTACACATTGATAATGGCAAAAAAGTTTTGCTTAGTTGTTGCCCTCAAAATCCCTGGCCATAGTTCCGTAATAAACATGGCCACCCTGCTTCCCTTTCCAGTCTTGTCTTTCTACCTCACTTGATTTGTCTCAGTCTCTCTCTCTTACAACTTCGCTTCCCCTGGAGAAAAGCTTAATCCTCTTCCCATCCCCCAACACAACGTAATTCATCAGTCAAACTAAATCCTTTGTTAACCTTGGGGTTACGTGAGGTAAACGACAAGGCACCTTCAATCCTGAGGCAGCCATCTTTTTTGTAGAGACAATCCTCATAGGATTTCCTGGGGTCTTTCCTGATCCCTGCTGAGAAATAACTACAGCAATATCGCGGCTAACAGTGGCCCTGGGCCAGCAGGGACGGGGAGCCCGAGGCAGCCTTGCCCGCGGGGGG